TTGAATATATTTTGACCGTACTTGTAGGGTGAGATGATGGTCCCTTTTAATTTTGTCTTGAGTTTTGTAAGTGTTTAACTGTTAAAAAAAACAACCATTAGGTTATTAAAAGTGTGCACAACACTAGATGGCATCAGTGTGCAATAGTATGATGCAACCCAAATACTGCGAAATGTGCATCTGCTTCACTTTTTTCATGATATTAAAAGCTAAGGCTAATCATTCATAGGTTGTATTGGATTTCTAAAGATATATAGCTTAAATAAGCTTAATTAAATAGTTTTTTTATTGAAATTATATATTATACACACATATGAAAAACATGAATAAACATGAAAAAAAGAAAATAATGTTGCCTTGGCATCTAACTGGAATAAAATACATTTAAGTTGAAGTACTAAAATAACTAAAACTGAAATAAAAATAAAGGTAAATAGAAATACTTAAGGTAAATAAAAAATGACAAAAGCATATAAAATTACTAACATAAACACTAACCACACTAAACTGAAACACTAAACTGAAATCAAAATGAAAACTGAAAATATAAAACTAAAAGCTAATTTAAAAAAGTATTAATTACTACAATAATATACTAATAGTATTAAAATAAGTGATCAAGTTCACACAGCAACCGTTTCAAACACTCTCCACTACATGCCTACACAACAATCAGGAATGTAAACAGATTCGCAAATATTTTACAAAAAAAAAAAAAAAGTTGCCACATGCAAAGACTACATTTAATAATTAACATATTCAGTAATAAATTATCTACCAAGTAAGAAATCAAAGTTGTAGATAAAGCATTTACGTTTTAGAAAACTGTTAGGAATAGAAAAAATCTAGCTCAAACCTTTGAAGCAGACAGTCAGTGTCCGGGCCTTCTCTGGTATTGGAATGCGTACACATAGTACTCAATGCTCTTCTCTTCACAACTGCCCAGCAGACAGTCAGCCAGCACACTGCCATTTGACAGAGTGGACACTGTGTGTGTGTGGGATCTAGGGGAAAGTTCAAGCCATGATGGTAAGAAATGAGGGGGAGGGAATGATAGTTCTCACAAACAACATATGAATATAGTAACAACAACATCAAAGGTCAACACGTGCGATTTGTAACCGAACCCGTCACACAGATCTCAGGTACTAGCACATTGGGCACAACAAAAGTAAACATACTGTGAACCTGAAAGACACAAGTAATTTCTACAGTCTACTGCTTTAGAGGCTACGGCTAAAACTTAAAAATACTCAAATACAGTCAGTATTTCTGCAAGAACTATTTGAATACATGAACGTGTTAGGTTTCGTCTTAAAACAGCTATGACGACTGACACAGTGGTGCTGTCAGTTAACGTTAACTGTCCTAGTAGCGCAGTAGTTACGAATTGGCGATTTGGCGAATATAAATATAATTCCTATGGCGAAGTCTCATATAAATATTAATCAGCAGGTCATGCTGTTGTTGCAGCTTTCCTTATCAATATTAATTCAAAAATGTTACGTCGTATAGGCCTACTGTGGGCGAATATTACGTTAGCCTCACTCATAGTAGGATTCATAACTTCGAGGGCAATATAAACAACATGGCTCAAAGTGGGAAGGACTTTATCTGACAAAACAAAGCTTACATTATCTGTCTGTAAGAAAAAATACAGCTTTACCTGCAAACGAGTCTCCACTAAGTGTTGTTACATTATTCCAAAAATACTGTAGCGTTATTTGTCAACACACGCACGTGATGTTTTTGCAGACTTCGTTCGTGATGTTCCTGTACTACTCACATTGATCACTGGCTCCTTCCTCCTCAACATCACCACTTGTAGTCGAATGCACCGTTTGCTTTACTAGGCTACTACATGTTTGTTTCCCCATACATTGTGCATGGTTGTTTGTTTTGACGCTCTTCATTCGTCCATGTTGGTGCGTGTGTCGTCATCGCATGACGTTTTTAGGTTGATGTCTTCCTGAAAACCATCAATCCCCCTAGTGTGCAACTCTGTTACATTTGTTGTATTTTCTTGTATACTGTAGTATATGTAGCATACTCTTCTATTTTGTTAATAATAAAAATGACTTCCCGAAAAGTTTTTAACTTTTTTTTCAAATATCATAATACTAGTATAGAGGTGAATACATTTGAAAATATTATCAGTTAAAATAATCATCATCATCAACCTTTTTTTTTATTACGGTAACTTTATTTTTACAGGGGTCAGGGTCACTGAATACACTCATTTTACCCATGTTCAAGTAATGAACCTAAAATAATTCCTCTTGTAAATTGTATTATTCAGATAAATGACCATATACCGGCCTATCTTTATGCTTAACCCAGGGTTAAAAGTACCTTAACCAAAGGTTAAGCGTAGTGTGAAACTCTGATCCACGTTTAAGTGGAGAAATGTCCCTAACAGTCAAGTTATATACTTGCTTTAAAATGATTTATAACTTGACATTCACTTCATCAGTGAAATGTCAGTGTAACAGTAACTGTTTTGTGATTCAAGTGACACATGGATCTTGTAAAATGCAAATCATTTGTTAAAACAATTAATGAGCCATAATAATCAAAAGATTGTTCTTATTTAGACAGTATGTCTCAAACACTTAAAATCAGGGGGAAAAAAGACAGGACGCGCTGCATCTGTGTTCAAATGAGCACATTGTTATTGATATTCATACATTATGGTAATGTTATAGGAGCACAACAGGAGAGTAAGGTGAGCTACAGGTATCATACAGTATATACAGGCCAGAAATATTGGGATGATCACAGCAGATAGAGAGAGGGACAGAGAGAGAAAGAACATTGCACAAACATACATTAACCTCCAAACTAAGCCTTCCTCTTTCACTGGTGTTTATCCTCTAACAATCTGCATGGAAAAGAAACAACAGGCTATATCCAAAACAGATGCCAGTTTCTTTTAACTCCCACCTCATACATAAGAAATGGCACCAAACAATTGTGAGGAAACACTCTCTAATCTCACTAGCACACACGTATTGGTTCAAAAAGGCACTGGACAGCTATTTCTCTCACAATCTCTCTCATTCTCTCTCTCTCTCTCTCCCTTTCTCTTATATTTACAAGGTGGGATTCAGTGAAAAGCAAAGCGTATTTTGGAAGACCAGCAGACAAACCGTAATTGACCTAAAGCAGGAGCACTACAATCTAGATTGCGCAGCTTTTTGTGTGAGAGCATTTTCTTCTACTCATAACATCCCATAACAACATAATGTACATTTGAATGGTTTTCGTTCTTAACTGTTAGCATTAAAAGCTGTTAATAACCAGTCAATAATATCATTTTCCTTTTGAGGATATGAGAACGCAACATATTTACAATTACAAATACACAAAATAATGACGAATGCATTTTTAGAATAGAAAATAATAAAAAATAATAATAAAACTGTTTTAACAAAAACATACTGACATTGATGTCTCAAAGCAATTTGAAAAAATCAAATCAAAATATGATTTTATATATTACTTTTAGCAAAAGCATATTAAGTGTCATAGAGGGCCCGAGATCATTTTCAATACAATTGCTGATCATCCTCAAGTCCTGAAATAATTTAATGCTGTAATAAAATACATAATACACATTCCCTTCCATAAGGCCTCACCTTGAGTTGAATTTAGGACATCAAATGGCCATAACTTAATGCACAATATGGTACCACAATGCAATATTTTGTGTGGTATTTCACCAGCCTTGTCTAAATGTCACTTTTTGTCCTCTACTGCAAAAAGCAGAATAAAGTATTTGTGGATAATATTCAAGCATGATCACATTGTTAGTTTGAAAAAATCTTCTCATGAATAAATAAATTTAAAGGGGAAGGGATTTTCCACCAAACCCCATTAGCCTGCCATTTATTCAACTACATACATAAAACTCTATACATCCATCTGTTCATCTTCTACAAACTGATCTATCTTAAATAAATATAGGCCGGCCCAAAAGCATTCAAAAGCTCCTTAAACCAAAACAAAACAACCAAAAGTCTAAAGTAGACATATCCTCCCTTTCTGTATCTCCCGCAGATTATGCAAAAGGTTGTTATAGGAAGGAATATAGTACATTTAAGGTTAAAGATGGAGCTTATTTTATCTCTCCAAATCGTTTAAGTATCAGAAAAGCAAAACATTTGTGGTGCACTCCATCACATGCAAACAATCTTGCTGTAAATTATCCCTTATTGGTGTAAAAAACATGAAATGAAGGGCCAGAGATTGTGGCGATAGCATTAGTATATCTGTTTACCTGTCAAAGCAGCACAGGTTCGGAGAGAAAAATGCCTCTGGACAGCCTAATTTCCCTTGTCGTATAAGGCTGGAAAATGTTGTATATTTTTCAACGTTAATGAGCTTTAATTCCTGTGGACTTGCAGTAAAAACCAAGATGTCCCTTAATCAGTGATGTACTATTCAGCTTCATACGGTTATTTGCGAGTGACAACGAGATGTTCACGAATGACCTCCAGGTTACGCGCGGCCTCTGAAGGGCAAGTGCAAACACTGTCTGTCGCAACACATGAATTGGCTAACATCTAGATTACATGAAATCATACAGTATTTAATAAAGACAAGGCATAAGCGCCAGTAGTGTCATCTAACAACTTCATTTGGTTTTTTTAAAAGGCTATTGACATTTATGATTACAAGCTATTTTGCAAAACCTGATGGCTCATTGCAAACAATTTCACTACTCAGAATCAGAAACTAGATCTACACTTTCTAATCACTGGTTAGAACATTGCTGTTCACTGAAACAAAGAGGGTGCTTTCACAACAGCAAAGTGTGATGTTTGTGTGTGTGTGTGTGTGTGTGTGTGTGTGTGTGTGTGTGTGTGTGTGTGTGTGTGTGTGTGTGTGTGTGTGTGTGTGTGTGTGTGTGTGTGTGTGTGTGTGTGTGTGTGTGTGTGTGTGTGTGTTGGTGTTTACATACGCATGCAAGCACAAAATGAATCCGTCAGAATCATCTCTTGTGCAGCAGCTTTTATATTCAGAAAAGCAGTGACCCTCCTCTTTGTCCCCAATCGCATCTCATCTCGCACCCGTCTCTTTCAGAGCCTGAGTTTCAGCGCTCCTGACTGTCCTCAATCAGGGTGACGTATATGATGGGAACAAGGCCCTGTGTGTCGCCCAGAGCACACAGCAGCCAATCAGAGTCTGCCCTGCTGAGCACCTGCAGCACGTCACCTTTGTGGAAACTGAGCTGGCCTGGCTCTGTGGCAATATGATGGCATAACGCCTTCACTTCACTGAAAGAGATGGAAAACAGAGGGATGAAGAGGGAAAATGGGGAAAGAGAGAGGGATAGAGACAGAGAGTCAAAGAAACAAAGAAAATGTAGTTGAGATAATTAATCAGGTATAGCAGTAATGTCTTTTCATTTTCAAATAATTACACTAAATGTTCTTAGAAACACTGTTTTGCAAGACAGCTCTTAATATTCATCAAACATAATTTTTTTTTCCTCTTATGGGCTGTTTACATGACACTTTCCACTTAAAAACAGAAAACTTTTTATGCGTTTTGGCAGTTCATTTGCACGACAATGGCATTTTAGCGACCTGAAAACGCAAACTTTTTAAAAACGGGTTTCAAAGTGCAGGTTTTTGAAAACAATACCATTATCGTCTGTGTAAACTACAAAAAGGTGAATTTGTTAAAAACGGTGACGTCATGCACATGCATGCTACATGTTCAGTCTATAGGTGCATTGTGTTTTCTTTACAAAGTGACATCACCACCTACTGGCCTGGCAGCGTTTTTAGTCGGTTTTTTTTTATCCGTGTGAACAGGGATCGTTTTGACAACATTATCGTCTGTACGCGAAAAAAATAAAAATGTTTTTAGTACATCGTTGTTGTGTAAACGTACCCTCAGTTTTTGGGAATTAATTAATCTCAAAGCGCTAAACAAACAGATTCAAACTTTGATCATTTCAGTCTTGTGTTTTTATGTTGTGGAATGTATTTTTGACTTTTGTATCTATAATACAAGAAATGTAATATTAAAATAAATTAAATAAAAAAATCTCACTGACACCAGTAATGTCATTGTAACATTTGGATACTGAATTGTAATTGGTCTTTTTATTTGTATCTTTTTTATCTGTGTTTTATCATTACAAAGTGGCACAGAAGCAATAGGCGTTGATAACTGTGTGCAGATGATTGAAAAAAAAAAGATGTTTACTAAGCGTAATGACAGTGACAATGTTTGTGGAATTCATTTAGGCAGCCTAAATCAATGTCTAAAACCTAAGCTAATTAAAAACTATTCTGTAGCTGCCTTGCCAAGCACTGGTTTCTAGATAAATGACAAATCTAGTCATTATGTATTGTCTACCAACATTACCGAAGGGCTTGTCTCTGTGTTGGGGGATTCTGTGTTTGTGCTTGTTTAGTTGGGCCAAGGTGGGATTCTTGGCTTTGAAACGTGAGCGATTGTTGCTCTGCTTTTTTCCCCACTCCAACAGACTGAGCCACCAAATCCAAAACAGAACGGTCAAGACTCAACCAACCAGATGGCAATCTGAAACCATGTAGGTAGAAAAGGTAGAAAGTTAGCAAAGTTTATATTAAAAATGCCTTTGTAAAAAGTGTTGTAAGCAGCTGGCAATGTGTAAAACTAAATCATTCTGAAATCAAAGCCATTGAAGTTTGGCACACAAAAAAATGATGAAGCTTGGTGAAGTTGAAGGAAATGAAACCCAATTATGGAACAACTTCATTTATAGCATATTTGTGATGTGTAAAGGCCTGTTTACACCAAGACCAATAACTATAAAGTTTTAATTATTGTTCTAATTTTAAGAGAATATCAGAGTTCAAACCTGAACATTTACAATAACGACACAGAGGAACAATATGATTGGAATTCAGAACTATTTTTTCCAGCTGATCAATCAATACTAGGGATGCACCGAATCCAGATTTGTGGGGTTCGGCCGAATACCGAATCCACTGGTTAAGATTCTGCCGAATCCGAAACAGAATACCGAATCCTACTCTCATCCTCAGTCCATTAACACAGTAAACACATTAATGAAGTAAACAAAGTGGATTTTTCATTTTATTTTATTACCGTAAATAATAAACACTACTTTTACTTTTATAACTGTAAAAAAAAAAAAAAAAAGAATAAGCAACATTATGCATTTTAACAGCGGCGATGTTGTGTAGCCTATTTAGAGTCCTTGCCACCATGAGACAAATCGGCATTGCAAATTGAACATGTAGCTCGACTTGAATTGCCTTCTTTCACTTAAAGTACTGCCAAACAACACTTTTTCTGCTCACGAGTTCCATTTTCACTTTCTCACAGCCTACTGCATTCGAACGGTCCACCTACTGTAACGAGTGGAAATAAGGTGTGGCCCCTTTAAGAACTGCGCGCCGTATGTGCCGTGCGCCTCGAACACATGCCCATGTATGCGGGTTATTTCTGTTTGATGCTCATTTTTACCTTATTTTGTTAAGTAACGCTGTGGACGGTAGAACGTGTGACAGACAGTTACACAAGTTCGATTGTGGAATAAAGTGCGAGTTGTGAGATGCCAATCGCCTCCGTGAGTCTGTCTGGCCTCTGCAATAAGTTTAGCTGTGAGCTATCCCTATTTTTCTTCCTGACACAACGCGTTACACTACAGGCTTGTTCGACTTGAACCGGCGCTGCACAGACAGATCAGTTTATGACATCAAAGTACCGCGAGAGCAATTCAAAAGCATAAGGAGCCGTCTGCTCTCTATTCGTTCACGCGGTACTTTGATGTCATTCACTGATCGGTGACTTCGACGTAGCGCGCGTAGTGCAAGCCTAGGGTTCGGTTCGGTGGAAAAAAATTCTGAGGTTCGGCAGAAACCGAACCCCGTTAAAAATCCCAATATTCGGCCGAATCCGAATCCGAATCCTGGATTCGGTGCATCCCTAATCAATACCCATCCCATAAAGAGCCCAAGCATTTAATGTGGCAGACATACTTATCGTATGTTGATGTGGACGCAAATATAGTTATCTTTATAGTTAACGTTCTTGATGTGGAACAGGCCTTGACTGATGAAAACATGCTGACTGATTACTCTCCAACGGAAAGAGGTGGATGTTTGCCAACTCACCTTTGTTTCCTGACTGATTTCTGCTCACTTTTCTCGATCTTGCTTGCGTTTCCAGCTCCAAACAGCCGCCCCCAACGGAGCACCTGTGCCGACCCATCCTCCCCTGCTCCTGCTTGGGCCTGAACCCCTTCATAGGCATCCTGGCATTCTAGCTGCTTCTCCTTGCTCTTCTTCAGCTCAGTGAGCACTGATTCCGGTGGACTTCCCATCCACGATGGCTTCCCCTTTGCAGCTTTGGTGGGTTCTGACAATGCTGATTGGTGGAGGACCCCATTGCCAGCACTATTATTATTGCTACTGCTGGTCCGACCATGTTCCACCTGTTCATCCATCTGTTGAATGGCTTCAGCCCCCTCAACCACACCTTCTCTAGTAGGTGGATGGCTTTGCCGGTGACTTTCAATGCCACCTTTCCTCCTCTTTTCCAACTTCACGAATTTCGAGCCCTCGGCAGAGTTGTCGATGTAAACCTGTGAACTTTGCATCAGCTGATACCACCAGCCAGCTTGTCGGTTTCTCTGTTTGGCTCCATCTCCTTCTCTCCTTTTCTCCTTCTCACAATCTTCTCCAACTCCCTTCATCCTGCCAGCACACCACCCACCACCCTCTATCAGCCCTGCGTCACTCTTCCTCAAACACTCTTTGCCAACTCCAGCCTCCTTATCCCGTGATTCACGCTCTCCTTCACTCTTCCGCCCATCTCGTTTCATTTTTAATATCACTCCCTCCGTCCTAAGCCGGCTGTCCTCATCTCTCAGCATGAATTTTTCTCTCTGAGGCAGTATTCCCATTTCCTGTGCACCAGACTCCAACATTCCACAGCCACGCATTAGCTGGAAGGTGGAGCGATCTGATTGGTCGAGGCCTTGGCGTGCAGAGCACAGCTGTTCTTTGCGTCTCAGGTGTTCTTCCCCTTTCTGTAGCTGGTGTGGCTCAAATAGCAGGTCAAGGTCAAAGGGCAACAGTGACAACGGCTGAAGCAGGAGCAGCAACTCTTCGAACAGTGGCTGGCACGCCCCTTGAGACAGGGGTAGGAAACCCCATGGGTGGTAGTGTGCTGCTATGATGTCTGAGGAATCATGCCAGAGAGAGAAAAGACAGACAGCCACACAAAAAAAACCACTAAATATTAGAATTATGCTGGCAATAGAGTATCTGAAACCTGAAAATCTTGGCTCTACATCACCATTACTGTGAACAAGCCAACTACGCTTGGACAAGAAAAGTGCAGAAAGCATTTTCCTACCTTCATGTGTATAAATGTGATTGAACCAGAATTCCAAAGATCGCAAGCTGAAAAACAGTCGAGGTAGAATAAAAATCAAACCTGGAACATTACTGGATAATAACATAAATAATACACTTGTACCAGACCAGGGGTCTTCAACCTTGGACATAGAGCAGAGAGCAGGGACCCACTGTTACAAATTGTGCAAAATTGAATTTCTAAGTCCAGCCTATGATAACATGTATAGAATACAATATTAATATATTTACATAATTTAATACTCTAATAAATACTATTTCATTTTCATCATATATCTTTAATTTTACTAATATTTTTAATACACATTTTATTATAATATATACAATTCTATTAATATATAAATGATATACATTTTTTTCCATTATATTTGGAGTTGATAAGATTTTTTAATGTTTTTGAAAGAAGTATTGTGGAAGAAGTACAATATTTGTTTATTACAACTTATAATAACTGTTTTCCATTTTAATCCATTTTAAAAAGTCGTTTATTGTGAATAATTCCAATTTCAACAATATCAGTCTTTATTGCCACGTGACCTTTCCAAAATCATTCGAATATGCTGATTTGATGTAACATTTATTATTATCACAGATGAAAAAAAAAAATGCTGCTTAATATTTTTGTGGAAACTGTGAAGCATAATTTTTTGGTCAGAATAATATATATTTATACATATATGTGTGGGTTTATATGCGAGGATGAGATTTGTAAATTTGTTACGTGGCATATTGTAACAAATGTGTTTAACCGATATTACAAATGAAAGTATTAGGCCACTGGATAATGTTTTATTCATCTACAAACATTCAAAATTACATGTAAAGGCAGCGCTTCATGATGACTAGCTATAAACAGTTTATGTAACACAAATGTGTTTACCAAAAAAAATGACTTGCCCAAATCAAAAAAATTATTGCCCTGCAGTAGTGCTGTGGACCTCCTAGGGGTGCCGACCCCATGTTGAAGACCCCTGGACTAGACAAATCCCCTTTAAACAAGTGAAATATTACAAGTGCAACAACAAGGAGCCTTGAACGTGATAACTGTACTCTGTATTTATCTTAAGAAGCAGAGTGACCACATCACAGAGTGAGACAGACAGAGAGAGAGAGAGAGAGAGAGAGAGAGAGAGAGAGAGAGAGAGAGAGAGAGAGAGAGAGAGAGAGAGAGAGAGAGAGAGAGAGAGAGAGAGAGAGAGAGAGAGAGAGAGAGAGAGAGAGAGAGAGAGAGAGATGAGAATGCTGCAGAATGCATAATTGAAACGAATGATCAAAGAGGAAAAGAGGAAGTTTGCACAGGAGCTGAGATGACTATGTCAAGACCCATCAAAGCAAAAAAAAAAAGAGCCTTTGAAGACTTCTAAAGACTTCTTGAATCACACTCCAGAGCTTTAGGCAGCATGGGTTGAGGTTTTTAAGACTGGCTTGTTACAGTGCTGATAAAGATCATACACTGTCGATCTGTTCCAAAACCTAGTTAGATGCTTACCAAGACGCCATTTCAAGACATCATAAGTATACTTTCAATGCAAAGACTGTTCTAAAAGGTAGGCAGTAAAATGTATTAAAAATATTATGCCAAAATCTAAGGCGATATCTAAAATATGGTCTAAAAAAACTAGTAGTTCCAAAAAGAAATGGACTATTTCACCAAATATTAAGAGTTTTGTATTGTTGTGCTTATTAGACTCAGATCTAATAGATCAAATCTGAGAATCAGCAACCTTATTCATAACAAATACTGTATGCTCTCAAACTGTGCCCTCAGAATATTTGATAAATATAAAAGAAAGGAATCAAATAGCACAGATGAAACCAAGGGTCCATTTTAAAGTCAACATTCACAATGAATCTTGCTTCCATAATGTGACGCATTTCCAATTGAAAGGTTGTATTCAACAAGAAAACCTTGACAGGAATCCAACGTGTTACACAATAAAGATTGTTTATTAAGAAAGTAAATTAGATGTTAATGCTTTAACAGTCAAAAAAATTATGAAAGGTCCAAAAATGTGCTTTCATAGGCAGTGTGAAGATGAACGTGATTAGAATGAGTGAAAGGGAAAGCAGGGAGATGAAAAGAGAGCGAAACATGAAAGAGGCTTACTTTAGCAGGCCAAAGATGAAGGCATTGAGTCTCATACTGTGATTGGTCAGCTCAGAATACTGACTGACTTTAGAAAATAGACTGTGCAAAACTCTTGTAGAGGGACCTAGGACAGAAAGGATAAACATAAATAATTTCCTTCATCCTCATCCATATAATATTCATTATCATCACCATTCTTCTCATACCGAGTTGTGTAGAGGCCTCGACCACACTCCAGGGCTGGTTTTTGCGTTGTCCAATGATCAGGTCCAGTATATACGCTTTCAGCCCATCATGCAGTATCTCACGAATGGCAGGACACAGGTACTTTAGAATAAGATGACCCACGTTTGGACTAACAGAGCTATTACCCAATTTGGCCTATAAGAGAGAGTGAAAGTGGACCAGAGGGTAAAGCTTTTAGTGAGATACTTCAATTTATTCAAGTATATTGAGTTTAACTCTGTTATTTTAAATGTAATAATATAGTACCTTAACTCCTGCATCCCTACTGGTACCAAAATGAGCAACTATCAGATCCACTGCTGTGTTTATGGCCTTCACCAAACCTAGTAGAACAGGACATATAGAGGAGACAGGATAGAACATATTATATTATTTAATTGATCTAATAAAATTAAACTCCAACTAAGAGTATGTACACACAAACACACACTTGTCATGCGCTAATGCAGTTCTCATTGATGGGACCTGTCAATCTGTGAGATGAGAGCAAATGGGCCATGTTTGATTGACAGGAGGACCCAGTGGGAACAACGTCAAGAGACCTAGATCTCTTCTGCATTCTACTCCCTAGGGCACACTTAACATTTACTGCAGATTCATATGTGAGAGTGATGTATGTACTGCATTGCAATATTCCTATACTTCATTTAAGAGCTAAAGGGCTCACCACAACGATAAGGTTCATATTAACCACAGATGTGCTATTATATTGCTGTATAAATTACTATGGAGATAAAGGTCAATCTAGACATTGCTTAAAATGCAAAAAAGATCTTATGCTGTGCCACTGTAAGTGTTACTACAAACTAAAAATCACACACCTCTCTTCTGCAACAGGTCTATAGAAATGGATTCGTCAGTATTAGCATCAGGAGATAAGCAGAATTCCTCTGGGGGGCGCTCTGTCTGAGAGAAATAATCAGGCAGAAAGTCGCTGTAGCACTGGGGCAGTTGCCTCAATGACTGACCTATAAACAAAAAACACATCAGTGTGCTGTATAAAACAGACTAAAGATAACATCATTGTCAAATTTAAGTGTTCACTAACTACAAACAAAATGACCCCCACCCCAGCCCCCTTTCCAGCTCCTTCCCCTAAACGCCCATTGGGTGACAGAAATTGGTTCAGCACCATTCAGTCTGCCGAAGCTGAGTGGTTGGTTGGTTGGAGGGAAATCAAACACATTGCGTCGCATGACACGAGTTCCAGGTGTCTTGTTTTCCAAAGCACAAGAGAGAGAATGATGGCCGTCTTTACTGCGCTCCACACCCAGAGGGTTCTTGCGCCTGTACTCTCTCCATTTGAGTGCCTGGGGGGAGAGGTGGTGCACTGGAAGGCAAAATGGAAGGAAAAGGGGATGGTGGCAAATGATAGATGGAATATGAAGAGAAAGAATGAAGTATTGGGCAGTAAGATGGATGGATGTACATATATAGGGAAAAGTAGAAAAAAGGAAAGAACAGACACAAGGGTAAGATGAAATTGTTGAAATGCCAAAGTGATGCAATGCAAAACATGGGCAGAAGTGGAAGCAGGAGGGACAGAAAAGAGAAGTTGTTAGCAGCAGTTGAAGGAAAGAAAAGCCAAGGTCTAAGTATGGGAGCTAAGGCTTTGTTCAGATAGTGAAATGTATGACTCTTTTGGCCTATACAACTCAATTCAGAAGCAAAAAAAATATATATATATATATTAGAGTTGTCAAAAAGTACCCACTCAGTACCAAGTCGGTACTGAAACTTAAAAAATGTGACGCTTTGAGTGCTGTTGAGCGGAATCATAAACACTGCTGATTGCCCATTGTACTCACGCGCTCATTGGATATGTCTGTGATTGGGTACAATGATCAGTGCTTCAAAAACATGTTGCTCCGAGCACTTACACAGATACAGACGGGAACCCACTTTCAAACACTTCCGTGTGCTCTCAAACGCTCCGTTGCGTTGACATCTCTGATTGGCCATTGTGTCGAAGTGCTCATAAGATGCGTTTACGGTTCCGCTTAAGTGCGGTCAAAGAGTCACAATTTTACAATTTCAGTACCGACTTGGTTCCGAAGTCTGTACTTTTTGACAACTCTAATATATATATATATGTATATATATATATATATATATATATAAAAAACGGCAAACCATATTCATGTTATAAAATAATTCAAGTTTCATAACATTCACTTTATAAAGTCATATACAACACAGTAGTATCTAGAACTGTGTCTGAATTCACAAATTTTTACTCCGAACCTACCATTAGGCTGTCGCTGTGTCACGCACGCCGGTAAAACTTTCACTGGCTCTTCCTGTGGCGCCGGCTCCAACTGTCCAAGAGGACTGAGACAAGAGCTGGGAAGCGTCGGCAAATTGCCACGGTGGAAACAGTGACTTCTAGTGGGCAACGCAGGCATCAGCGGATTCTGCTTCATCACCGGAGGTGGAGGCGGTGTAGGAGGTAAGGGAGTGATTTTAGAAGTCTCTGTACGTATGGCCACTCCAGTTGGGGTATGCTGGGGCAGAAGACCTGCAGAGATGGGGCAAGAGAGGGAACGTGGCGGCCTCAGACCACCCGGGGTCGGAGAGCATGTCGAGCAGGTTCCAGAAGAGGTGGGTGCACATTGGAGGCGAACAGGGGAGTAACTGCCCAGTGGGGACGGACGCACTGTTGTAGGTGCATTGGAGTTGTCGTGAGGTGACTTGTGGTCTTCTTCTGACTCATCTTCACCACCCTCAGGTGCTGCAGCCCCTCGAGCCTGCATATGGCTGATGTATCCGTCCAGAAGAGGAAGGATAGGCTTCGCCTGGGGTTTTCCAAACTGGTGCTGGAAAGTGAAGGGCTGAATAGGCAATGAGGTCGGACGTTGATTTTTGCTATAGCGAATTACAACTGGAGAGGAGTCCGTGGAGCTAGACAGGCCACCTAGGGGTAGAAAGACAAGAGATACAAGCAGAGGAAAATAAGAGATATAAAGATTAAGAACAAAGCGTCAAAATCTATGGCAGAGTAGCATTCAAGACAGTAATGCAGAACCTATAGCATAGCATGAACCTATGAATCTAAATCATTAAAATAAAAATAAATGTCATAGATAAATATAATTATAATATGAATCAAATGATCTGACCTAAATTTTGCTATGACGAGAATTGCTATGGCAGTGACACAGCATTTTAAAACAGCTGAAATAAAACCTTAGCAGTAGTAATTGCAATAGCAAAGGAGACAACAGAGTCTTATTATGAAACTGAAACATAACCATACCTATAAAAAAAACATCCAATTCTGTCAAACACATACCTTAAAACACTGCTCCAAAAACTTAATGACCAAAAGAGATACAAAAACAACCAGGATATTATGTCTAAAACAGCCTGTTTATGAAGCTCCTCTGTCTGTGTACACCTCTGGGTATGTGTGTTTGTGTGTGCTCTGACCGGCACACAGTGTGTGTGCAACGTCACTCGGCTATTGCGCAAACTGTTGGCTCCACATGCCTGGATACTCATATGTCAGAGCTCTTAGTAACACTGCTGTACTCAGTCACAGCCAGCAGGGGCAGCACAGCATTAAGGAGAATTAACATCCATTGCAGTAACACAACACAAACTTGCCTAACACTGCCTATTTCTCTTGCTTTCTCAAACCCTCTAACCTAACTATTAAACTTTAGCATGCAACTCATGCACTACTTGTGCTACAGACCTCAAATAAACCTTAAATAATGCAGCTTGAAGAATATAGTTACTTTCCTAAGCTAGTATTAGCTATTACTTTCCTAAGGTATCAGACTTGATTTTCACCTGGCAGACTATAAAAAAAAAGCCATATATAATTTCACCCAAACATTAGGCCTGTCATATTTCATTCACCCTCATGTTGTTCCAAACCCACATGACATCCATTCCTCCACAGAAAATGAAAGGAGATTCTGGAGATATTTTTGTATTACATGGAGGAAAGTCATATGGTTTGGGAATGACTGAATTTACATTTTGGGTCCAAAGTCATACAGTATCTAGAAGACCAAAATATCAGAGACTTTAGGTGGACTATTTCGATTACGGCCAGTAAGGAACAATCAAGAATTTCATAGCAATGCTCTAGCAACCACCCAGAACATCCTAGTAGCCGCAGATCAACGTGCTAAAAACTCTTTCTTAACAACAGCCTAGCAACTTGCCAGAGTGGAAACAGTGGTAGCTTTACATTTATGTTTTTAGCAGATGCTAACCAAATTGGCTTGGATAATAAAGCAAACAATCATGTTAAGGGCAATCACTAAGAATACACAATGCTAGCTAGGTTTGAAATGCTAGAGAAATGTTCACAGTAAATAAAATGAAATTATGTCGCTCCCCAACCAACAAATAGTCAAGAGGAGTCCCAAAATCAACCGAGAAACTACAGTGTAACTCAGTCAATCCACAAAACAACAAAAAATAAAACAGCTTTTACAAACAACACTTTAACCATCCTCCATCCTAACAATTTAACAATCCTCTTTTTTAGAAGATATTGGAGATAACTTTCTCTTACCTTCTCCTATGGTTCGAGTCTGTTCACAGCTCCCTTGACTATGGCATCGAGTGAGTGGTGGCAAACTGTGGCTCTGACCCTGCGGAAAGCCTTCCAGGATGGGCGAGAACTCTCCAGAAGAGTGAGAGTGTGTGGACGTGGCCTCCATGCCACCCCTCTGTGATGGTGACCCTCCAGTTCTCCTCTTATTTCTTGCTATTTCTGCAAAAGAAGTGACACGTGGTGGAGGAGGTGGGCTTGGAGCTGCACTCTCACTTAGCCGAACAGGGCAGCTGAGCATGCGCTCCAAGGATCCAAGGCGAGGAGATGGAGACTTGTCCAGCATACGATCGTAGCTGCGAGAAAGAGGACGACTGCTCCCTGAAGCACCAACTGAATTGCAGGCTGTCATAGGTGGGGAGATGTTGATATACACCTGCCCCTCAATTATATTCTCATGGGTAGAGTCAATCTCAGTTGGATCCTTTTCTTCATTCTGGTAAAAGAAAAGAAAAAGATACAATGTTCAAGGTAGTGTCATATTGCTATGGAGTACATAATGAGGCATGGCACAAAATGCTAAATACAAGAAGTCAACACCATATAAAGTAAATAATATACCAGTTCTGCATCTTCCTCGTCTTCGTCCTCTTTCATTTGTTGAAATAGGTAGTACTCTGTTGGCAGAGTAGGGCTTCCTTTGCTGTGCTCATCTGAACAGCTTGTGACCGATGATCCCACCGGACTGGGAGAGGACTGGGAAGAAAGGTCACACGTCACAAGCTTGTAGTAATTCTGTGTTGCTACAACCAAGCGAGCTTGGCTTTGAAGACACGAGGTGAGGTCATTGGCAGAGGTTTCAGCAGAGGACAGTCCCTCACTTCCAAGGAGGTTGTGGTATGAGTTACAGTTGGCATCTACTTCAATAGTGGCACCTTGTGGCTGAGATACAGAGGAAGAGTTTGCATGTTCTTGGGTGGCCAAAGGATGCTGAGGGGGTTCAATCGGGGACGTGTGTAAGTCCAGGTAGAAAGCTCCATGTCCACTGCTACATTCTGTCCCGCACATCCCAATGAGACCAGACACAGATGAGGCACAAGATTGCTCACCAGAACTATTGATATTGAGCAATGGCTTGGCTGGGACAACATTGTTCATTTTGTTGAAAATCGTGCTGAAGTTAACCAGCACTCCATCTGAGCTATTGCAGGAGGAATCACTGCCGTAGCCCTGGTGACACTCAGAGAATGATTCCTGAAAAGGTTCAGGGTATGGCTGAGAAAGGTTGCAACAGGAGCAGTGTGGTGCTGCCAGACTGGAACATTCTGAACTTCCTCTACCGCCCTGCATGGACTGGTCTTCATAATCATCATCCTCACCCCATTCTTGCTCACCGCAGTCCATTGAAAGAGTGGAACCACTGCTTCCGTGGCGCCGCTGGCTATCTAATCTCAGCAAGTTTAGGCCCTCCATGTGAGTAGACAAATCAAAAGTCCCACCTATTGTGTGGTCTCTGGTCTCTGCTTCCCCACTAGGCCCATTTGTAGAACACCACTGTTTTTCTGTAGACCCATGCAAGAGAAAAGGTTCAGTGGTGAACCCAAAGTCATGTAAATGGAAAGGGGGCAAGTCTTCATTTGCAAGCACTGAATTTGAGATTTCATGCAAATTTCCATGCAGGTGAAAAGAGGAGTCTTCCAAATATCCATTCAGATTGTCTTCATCCTCATCATCTTCATCTTCAGTGTTGAGCAGAAAGGGGTTACGTCTAGAGTTTGGCCGTTCTCCTGTCTTCGTTGGCAAGCCTTGAGTCTGATCTTCGGAATTGCTTGAGGTGAAAGAGGAAGTGTCGCTTGCCATACTCCCTTCTCTCCCTCCTCTTCCTCGTTTCTCTCCTCCTCTCATTCCTCCATCCCCAAAAGTATCACTAGAGCTAAGGCTGCTGCTCGACGTCTGTATGAGGCTGCTGTACACCAATGCCTCCCGCTGAAGAATGTCTCTCTCAGGTAGGGAGGTTGTCCGAATCAATCCTAGGTTCTCCGGGCAGCTGAAGGGATTACTGTTCCTTTTCAACGGATTACCACAGCACTGTCGTGAGCTCGAAACCTGGCAGTGAACCAGCGGAATGTGGTGGACAATAAGAGTCTCCCCGGCTAGCTTAGGTGGACTGTCCATCTTCTCCTGGTGTGGGTGAGGACAAAGAATGTTTGGATATTTGCAGAAGGTGGTTTTCAGAGAACTTTAGTTCACACGACCAATGCCAATCCGTGGTTTTGGAGAGTGATGAACGTTAAAGAAAAGGTTAAAGAGAATCTCTTGGCGGAAGGAAAACATCTGAGGGAAAAAAGACAAGACAGGATTCAGCTTCAAATTGTCTTCAAGTACGACATGAAGTTATCTGGTGTTCATAAGAGGACAGGGCATTTTAATTTGGCATTGTGTAATCATATCATTTTCAACAAAAAGTTACATAAAGCAATGATCCGCTGGGACAAATCATGAGTGTAAAAACCAGACAAAATAAACCTAGAGACAAACAAACAAAACAATAATTAAGTAAATCCAGTTTACATGCCTCTGCCTCCATCTGCTCATAGTCCATAGATGATAATAGACTCAGAATGTAGACAATGAATAATACTTTGAATAAACTTACAAGTAAATACATATTGTATCATTTTAATTTATATGGTAAAAGGTAAATACATTTAAACTAACACAAATGTTCTTAAACTTATTCTTAAACACCATTTACAGTAAAACTGAGGTGACTTGTGAAGAGAACCATTCTACATTGCAACTTTAAAAAAATCATTTTCAAGAGAAATACATCCGGTTTACTTTTTCCAGATTAGTCTTTACAACACATTGTAAATCATTTTACCATACTAAGAGCTTTACTTGTAATGGAGATGGTAAGGTCTCCATAAAACTACCTCACTTTCTCACTTTCAGTTCTAACAGTGATCTTTTTTTATATTTTTGGCAATTTTGCTACTTTTATTTACAGGGACAGAAGAAATTGGACAGGAAATGTGAGATTAAGGAAAGGACACAAGCTGAGCTCATGTCACCCGCACATGGCACATGGGCTAATTAATCCCACAGGACCATAGCTCTCACCCTGGCTCTTATTTTGGTCAAACTGATATTCAGATTTTTTTTTTCTGGTGTACAAATGGTGCTGATTTGTCAAGAGATTCACTAGATAGGAAGGGAGGGGTGAGCACTTGACATTGACCTCATTTTAGACAGCTGGAAGTCTTGAAGGAGGAAATGGCTGTGGATCAGTGACCTGTAGTTGGGGTGGACGGATACAGCAAAAAGTAACAGGCAGAGGGCAAGCAAACCTTGCCAATGACCTAAAATTATCTCTGTGGAGTAGTAGATCATATTCTCTCTCATTAACCATTTCAGTTGTATCCAACTCTTGGTGATTACGACATCCGCAAGACTGTCCGTGAATTTTCTTGGCAATGTTTTTTTCCGGTGTAGGTTGCCAGGTCGTTTCCCAATCCTCCCCATTACATTGCTTGGGACTCACACACACGACCAATTAAGCATGTCCAATCCACCTAACCTGCATGTCTTTGAACTGTGTGGGGAAAACCAGAGCACCGGGAGGATACCAATGCTGACACAGGGAGAACTCGAAAACTCCACAGAGAACTTCTTGCTGTGAGGCGACAGTGATACCCAGAGAGCCACCATGCCGCCAGTAGAGCATTTTACATAATCTGAAAGCCTCAATAAGTGTTTGTCAGAGTGTTGGTAATAGATACCATTGTATAGTCACAAGACTAAATTAATGACATAATCCAGAAGAGTGCAAATAAATTCCAAGAAAAAAATTATTATGGTTTTTCTACTTGCCTAAACTTGCATGGACGTATTATAATGGTCGATTATTAGCATTCATTTTCTATGTAGTGGACGCCTCAACAATAAGGATGGCCCAGGGCCAATATGAGAGAGTTTTGGGCAGACTGACAGAAGTCTTGGGTCTATTGGGCCAGTGTTGTCACTACATTTTACATTTGTTGCTCGAAAAATTTCCCTCAAAATAGAGGAGCCCATTAGATTTATGCGTCATTCAACAGCAAACGATTCTCTGTCAATGAGAACCCTGCAGTCTGACCAGATTAAGGCCATGCTTAAAAATATTCTTGTTTGCCGTAACCCGACCGACCCTGTCAAATTAGGACCGACCCAATTATTTATTTTTTTCCCCTTTTAGTCCGACTGACTTGCCGGTTGTAAACTTGCATTAAGACCGACCGATTTTTTTTTTTACTCTTCAAACAACTAATACAAATGCAATAAAATAATATACATTTATTATAGTAAGTATTGTGAATATAAATTGCGTAGGCTACGTTCTTTCTTTTAAATAAAAACCCGTGGCGTCATCTATTATGATTATGTTTACACCATTGGTTTACGCATGTCACACTATGGCCTGTGCGTTCGCTTCGTTTCATTCACTGTCAATGGTTCGCGCTCGGTGATGATGGCTGCGGCTCGGCTGCTTGTGAAATACGTCTGTATGAGCCTACATTTAGTCGCTCATTATTCGAAATTCTTAATGGTCAAATAGGGAATCGATGTTAACGGCCTTTTCTCGGAGCCCGTCCAGCTCGTCATGACATGCCCACCGCGAACGCGCGTCACACAGCAACTGCAGGCTCTGACAAACAAACACACATAAGTGTGGGAAGCCAAACACACCGAAAGGGGGACGAAACGGCGCGGTGTGTTACAGAGTTCGCGCTGCGCTGACTTGTAATCTGCGTGGCTCAATGGACCGAGACGCGCGAGCGCGACAGACTCGACAGCGCAGGAGAAGTGTTTGCTTGCGCCAGCCAATGGTCAGAGCGGCGCGAATTAATCTCACCAGCGCCGCGCTGACCAATAAAACAGCACATCCCATACCGAAATGTACTAAATTGCACAAAAGAAAATCGACCATTCCATAATATGTCAGGACTACTTAATCGGCCTATAGTTTCCTACAATGCGCCTAGCTATTTGACCACACTGATTTCCGTTAATAATAGCAGATGTTTATGGGTCAAATCTCTCACTCTCTCCCTGCAACTTTTTGTTACCCTCCTTCCCTGCCCCTAGACCAGAAAGGGGGCTTGTAACAGTATGGGTCAAATGTAAACGAATGGTGCCAAACGCGCTGTTTTATTGGTCGGCGCGGCGCTGGTGAGATTAGTCATTTTAATTTATTTGTTTCCCTCTGAAAATCCACTTTCATTGAAATCTAGTGGCTCCCTTTTTTCTTTTGATTCTGCCTATTTTTTTCCAAATGAATGCAGCTGGAATTAATGCAATAAATATGTTTTTTTTTTTACAAAGATTTCAAATTGTTTGTGGTCTATAACCTGTATCAGAATGAGGTTCGCAATGGTGCGCCCGAAGGCATGGGGGTTGAAGACCCAGTCAGTGACGTCACGATATGCAAATTTGTTTAAATTCATACCGACCTAATCACCATGACCAAAATTATCCTTTTTTTTTTACATTGAATCTTGAAAAAAAAATATATAGACCTACCTACCGACCCTATTTTTTTTTTTTTTTTGCTGTTACTGCAAACCAAAATATTTTTAAGGATGGCCTAAACTCCATTACGTAACACTCATGTGTTCCTGCCAGTCTGTGTGTTAAAGACAAGAAATATATTCTGGATCACATTTCTTTAAACTATTTTCTTTTTTTAAAATCCGTTGTCATCCAGTCTGCAGGATTTCCTAGCTGAAATGTATTAGAAGATTAAAATATATTCACATAAACAGTGTGACAGGTGATTTTTCTTTGCTACTCTATTAGCTAATTCTAAAAAAAAAAAAAAAAAATCAATGACAGACTTCTCCAATCATTTAGACCACTTAAACTCCACCTGTTCTTGACTGCACACTCAGACTTACAACCATGTCCCCATCCAACCTTTTTTCTTTTTCGATAATCTGTTTTACTTGGGTGTATGTCACAATACAGGAAACAATATCTGATGCTTCTTCCATTTCTTTGCAACTTTAAAGGGATACTTCACCCAAAAATGGAAATTCTGTCATCATTTACTCACCCTCAAGTTGTTGCAACCCTGTATGAGGTTCTTTCTTCTGCTGAACACAAAGGAAGATATTTTGAAGAACGATTGGAACTTTGGCACCATTGACTTCCATAGTATTTTTTTTTCTACTATGGAAGTCAATGGTGCCAAACAACTGTTTGGTTCCAATCGTTCTTCAAAATATCTTCCTTTGTGTTCAGCAGAAGAAAGAAACTCATACTGGTTTGCAACAACTTGAGGGTGAGTAAATGATGACAGAATTTTAAATTTTGGGTGGAGTATCCCTTTAAGAGGATTAACGAAGATTCTTGGTTCTTAGGGTCTCAACAATAAACTATGAATAAGCAAAACAGGATGCAGATAAGTTCCACTTTCAGCTTGACATTGCAGGAGAAACACTGAAATGTATCTTAGACCTGAAATTAGTCCACACAGACTGATGCAGCTATTTCCAGCAATTCATGACTCAGTTTAGCCTGACTTCATCAAATCAGTCACACACTACTTAGACATAGTGTAGGGAGCAACAAATGATAGACCGTGAGATTGACCAGGGCAATTATTTGGCTGAAATTATTAGCACCAGTCAAGCTACATCACTACATCCTAATCTACCGCTGTAAATAAAACGAAAAAGCGACATAGAGGCTGGTTAAGGGGGCAGAAAATACACTCTCTCTCTCTCTCTCTCTCTCTCTCTCTCTCTCTCTCTCTCTCTCTCTCTCTCTCTCTCTCTCTCTCTCTCTCTCTCTCTCTCTCGTCTCATTGTTACATAACTACAGGCCATGACAGCTACTACATTCCACAGACTGGGCGTTTAACAAGATCAGACAGACAGCTGCAGACAGACGGCAACAAGACGGCATGCCTCTCACACACAAACACAGATGTTCAGGTTTTTAAAACAAAGCTTGTTTTTTAATAAGCAACTGAGTAGTGAATTTATGTATAGAAGTGCAGATAGCTTTTTAGTAGAATATTTTAGATGATTCAAGGTTAATATGCAATTTTATTCTAAATGATTGACCCTTTCTTTTTACAGTAGAAGAAGAGACTAACTAACTGAATTACAGGCTGCGGTGACAAAAAAATATATAGTAATTTCAAGACCTACTTTCATACAGCCATTTTGGAAACTTGAAGCTGTATAAAAAAAGCATGCAAATCTTAAAGGTTATAGTCAGAATATAATGAGTTGCTATCTCTCTGAATTGACTTCTACAGATAAAAGATTTACTTCTTTCAATAATGTGTAACTTTATGGATGTAGAAAGTAAATGTGATGAAAGTAAACATCCAGCTCCTGTTCAGCAAGGAAAAGCCCTTCTGTAATTCAATCGCATTACCCAAAACACCCTTATAACTTTTGTATAACTATGATTTAAAATACTGTAGTTTCTACAGTCAGTTTTACTATATGGTCAGTTTTGTCCCCTCACAATTAATAATAAGCTTCAAATTTAAATGAACACATCTCCCCGTCATCTCTTGAACACAAGCTGCTTTTGTTTAATGGAATCGGACTAGAAAGTTCTTTCAGAGGCAGGAAGAAACAGATTTCAGTCTGTGTCCGTTATATAACACAAAATAAATTGAGATCGTTACACAGTCAAAAAAATTCCAAAATATTAAAGTTTAATGTTTTTTGTAAGATAATAAGTAGGCCTGCGATCAATTTATTGGAATGTAATGTGCATTAGAACAATATTTATAGATGAAATTTAAGGGAAATGCCGGTACTGGAGTGACACTTTTGACAACTGTAAAATCTTGAAAAAAGTAACTTCTTCAGATTGTTTCTGTATTGCAACATTTAGAACATTCTAAGAATAAAGATCATATTATTTATCAAAAATGTATTTGGTATAAATGGTGCATTTTTTATATGTAGCTATTTGTTTGTTTGTAAGCTAAAAGTAAATTAACCATAAACATATATAATCAAAAGAAATGTAATGTTTCTTAACCCTTATGATAATGACACCTAAGAAAGATACTAAAAAATAAAAAGCAAATGTATTTTAATCTATTCCAGATTAATTTTTCCTAAAGTCAACATAGCAGAAAAGTGACCAACATTGAAAAATCGGCCATTGACAAACACACACATACGTGTAACGTTACATTAACAGGCCTATATGCGCCTGTTCGTTCGCTAAAATCGATTTCCCCCCTCCGATATTATCGTGTATAAGCCCGAGGTTATCATGTGGTGATGGTTCACAAACCGCTGGCGCTGTGATCGATATGCGCAAACACAGGCCTCACGCGAGCACAGCGAATCATATGGCATATTTGACATAACAGCAGCACGCTCTGCATCTGTTGGCCTATTTAGTGATTTTAAAACGTGTATATTCTTTCTTTAATAAAGAAAATGCAATGCACCATCATAATCAAGGCCAAGACAAAGCATAATTAAATGATGTCAAATCAGCACCAAAAACAAGAAACCTACAATGACCGCTTGTTTATATGGGCCTCTTTTAGGCCATGATTCCGGACATTCACTATTCTAAAGACTTAGAAAACAACCTTCAATACAGTAAAACCTCATAATACAAATCATTAATGTTAACAACATATGCGAGCGTAGAAACGGGCGTATGAGCGGAAAAAACAGTGCACGCGCACACGTCCACAACGGCTGTATAGGCTACCACATTAAAATAATTCAAATAACAACACTAGTCGGTAATGTTGCGTTAGTTCCGTCTTAATAATTTACTAATGTAACGTTACCGTCTTGGTTAAAATCTGAATCAGCAGCAGTGATGTAAGATTTGGCAGCGGGCAGTACCGTTAGCTTTCACCACACCGTGTTTATCACATTAACGTTACCTCTAAAATAAAATAAAGCAATCCACATTTATACTCACGTTGACAATAAATGTCATCTCCTTGATTCCCGGAGATCACGATGTCAAATCACGGCGAACGATCGCCACGTTTGGTTTGATTTTGTGATGTATTGAGCGCAACAGCGGAGCAGCGCTGGAGCGAGCGGCGCTACGTCAGGATGAAGCGCGCACCGTCCCTCGCGCGTACACTAACTGTGCGTCCTCTTACAATGCTGACTTTTGGACATCTTTAAGGCGATAGAAGGTTACAAATCACATATTTTGGGTCCAGGTGACTGGCGTCGGATACTGTGGCCTGCCGCTTGACAGCGTAGGAGTGGGTGGGGTGTTGGACTGCTGGTCCCCTGCAGGCAGCTCTTTGTTCAGCCTACTCTAGTCATTACTAGAGATGCATATCATTGTTCAGTCGAAGAATGCCTGCCTTGACTCTCAGGACTGTGAGTAAAATAGCTGGCATGTCTCATGAATGGTTTAAGGGCCCATCTGTCTGAGGGGGCCCAACTAATTTTAGCTGTATAGTTGGGGGAAACAGTTGTTCCCAAAATTATACATTTAGGGCACACTGTTGCTGAGTATTAATGTCATTGCATAGATACAAATAGGCATCTGCTTGATAAATTGGCAAATGATGCAAGAACTTTACTTCTCACATTACTTTGTTTTAACCAACTGGTCCGAAAAGTCATTTTAAAGACATATACAGTTTGAGTGTCCAAGTATCCAATTACATTTTTGTAAATAGCCCTAATTGTAATATAGCTAAATAAAATAAATATTCAAAAAAAAATTTACAAATATTTGTTCAAATATCTTTTTGAATAATATATTTATTGTTTTATAATTTAAAAGAACACATTCAATATTTTGCTGTCTTAAATGAGCTATTGATATTTTTCTTTAAAATAAAAGCCAATTGGAAAGTAGCCAGAATATTCTTTTAAAAACTCACCTTTTCTGTTCAAAGTCATGTGGGTTGGAATGCCATTAGGGTGAATAATTAATGGCAGAATATTCATTTTGATGTGAATTTTTAACATCTGTGTATAATAGACTTAACTTAATGTAACCTAACTTATTATAAACAGTCAAACTTACACGTTTAAACAATATAAAAACAAGTGTAAAAATGTCTTTTATTTGTATAAAATGTTTTTTTTTTTGCTTTTACAGAATGATTTGCATAGTACAGTACAATTGGTGTATGGATATGATATTAGTATACAGAGTACAGCTGAACGTTTCTTTCCTGTGTTGAAAATACATTTATAAAAAATAATTGTACAGTGTTCCCAAACCATATGAAACAAACTGTAATTAAAAAGTAGATTCCTTGTGCTAAGGTCTAGTCACATGAAAGGCACTCTTATCCCCCGGTTTCACAGACAAGTCTTAAGCCTAGTCCCAGACTAAAATGCATGTTTGAGCTGTTTTAACTGAAGGCAACTCGCACTGACATATCTTAAAATATGTCACTGCCATTGTTTTGTCTCAAGATGCACACCAGTAATGTTTTTTCTAAGGCATGTTTATAAAAACGACTTAAATGTCCTTATTGAACTAAGGCCTAATCCTAGCTTAATCTAAGCCCTGTCTGTGAAACTGAATTTAATACTATGAGTTCATTTCTGTGAAACTTCATTTCTTTCGAGCTCTGAGTTAAAGTTATAACATAAAAAAAAAAATTCCTTGATCTTTTGAAATGAAAGACTGTTGTAAACGTATTGTAACCTTCAGAAGTCGAAACTCCTATCTCCTTCTCAAAAAAGGTCTTGTTTTTTATAATGTCACAGTGATGAATACATTAATACAACCCAAAACACCAGAAGAGTAGTATATGATTATTCTAGCTGATAACAAGTTGGTAATGATGGCAAGATATGCTTTAAGCCTTTGTCAAGACGTTGCTGTCAGTTACTGTATAGCGTGTGACTCTGCATCGACTTCCAACGGATCCCAAAATTAGTATGCAGCGGCTGACGTTTATTTTTAACAATGTCCTTGAAGATGTCAGTCCAATCTTAACTATTTGAGGGCCATTGAACTCAGTTGTCTATTGAACTCAGGACTTATGTCAAAAGGCAGTAGTGGACGGTACCTGGAAGAGGAAAAGAACAGGAAACGGTGTTTTGAATTGAGCAATCTAGATCACTCCTTTTTGACTTCCTGTGTGACATCGGCGTGCTTTCATTGTTTTCTGTTCTCTTACAGTCCAGTATGTATGTCATTCCCATAGTAGTGATGACATTAGAGAGACCAAGTACTTCAGCATTATGGGTATTTCAGTTTGTTCTTGCTGTAAACCGCACATGCATTTTGAGTGACAAGTGTGTCTATGCAAACAAGATTTCGTACATTTAGGAATCATTGTCCTTAGTGTTTGTGTATATACTGCTATAGACACATATCAACAAAACAGCAGCTGTGAAATTGTCTTCAAGAGTTCAAACCTTGTAAACGGCATTTAAGATTTTGGTTCTAGCTCTGAATTAAAAGCTGCACCCTCAAAAGGAAGAGTCTTTAACAGCACGGAACATCCGCAGTGACGTGGGTTCTACTTTCTGTTTAGGGTTCTGTTCTCGCCCGACCGGGCTGTACCCCGCAGACCGGCCCGTGGGCTTAAACCCAGGAGAGCGTCCTGCAGGAGTGAAACCCGTGGAGCAAACAAGTGCAGGTCGCCGCAGGAATCTGCGAGAGGTCACAAGGTCACCATAACCTTGGGCGTGAGAGAAAGCGTAACCTGATCGACGCGTGCTCCTGCGGATGAGCCTGGTGTGTCGCGGGCGGGGAGCAGGCTCCTTCATCTTACACACCTTATACCTCACCTGTATTTAACAAACAAAAAAGATATCAATATTCATTTGTTCATCCATTTAATCAAACACTGAGACACTTTATACTCTATTATTCATTATACTACCACAATTTACACTATAATGTGCATATTGCATAATTCCTCTTGTTCTGTCTTCCTTTTTTTTATCTCTATCGTCAGCTAATCACAATGACTACATTTACATGCACAACAATACTCCAGTATGAATCAGAATTTGGCAAAATTACGATTTCTACTAAGTCATGTACAAGCTGCAATCCGATTGCCTCATTCCGTGAGAGAAAAATCACTGTATTCTGCATAAATTCACTATTAATTACATACAAATAGTTCATGGAATAATAATGTAATTTTCTGTAAGTAAATGGAAGTGTGTGTAACTAACATTTGAGACAAAGAAGCAGGCTGGGAAGCAGATCCAAATGCAGGTTAGATATATTAAAGTGCGAACACAAAGTAACTGGTGAAAACAAATGAAAAAACGGAACAGGAGGAAACAAACTAAACCAGGGAATGTCCATTCAACGACTGCCAGAGAACAAGTGAAACAAAGGGTTACAGGCAGACAAGATAACAAGGGGGCGTGGCTAATAAGAAACACCTGGGGGCTGTTCCATAAACCAAGATTAGAGTATAAGCCAGGCTTATTTCGGTTAGTCAGGCTTATTTTTGGTAGATTCGGTTTCATAAATCAAACTTAAAAAAGTTCAAACTCAGTTACCCTGGCAACTTATGCTGGGAAACTAGCCTGGTCCAGGGCAGGCTAACTGTCAGGCTAAGCCTCAGTTGTTACACAGATCCTCAACACTGACCGACAAGAACACAATGATATTACCACTGACAGTCTCTAATACCATTATTGGACTTTATAAATACACAGTATACAGAAAATCAACTTAAATAAGGCAACAATATAGACAATATAGACACATATATAAGGCGTTTTAAAGTTGTCCGTTTAGGATATGTCATTTTTGTAATAAAGACATTTTAATTAAGGAGTGCCTCGGTTATCAGAGAATTCTTTCTCTACACTGTCATATATATATATATATATATATATATATATATATATATATATATATATATATTATGTACTTTATTATGTCTTTCAATTCAAACACATTTAACACAATTATACTAATGGACAGTTCCTTTAAAGACATCATATTTTCCCCCAATAAATATTCCTTATTTTTCCTTCTACTTTTTTTTCTTTTGTGATAATACCAACACATACATATAAATAAAACAATAAATAAATATTAATAAAAATATAACATTCACATATATCAAACTCTTATAGTGAATGACACATAATTCCTAATAGTTATTCAAGTAATATAATTTAAATATCAAATATTCAATATTAAATAAGTAAATAAATAAAATAACAAATAACTAGAAATAAAAGGGAAGGTTACATAAAAATGTAGTTAATGTAGGCCAATATATATTCCTTTATTTTATGGAATATTCTTTGATTTTAGAGTTGCACATATCTTTTCAAAATGTATACATTTGTTCTTAATTTAATGTTATCCTCTCCATAATGTACTTTAGAAACTAAATCTAACCACTCATTTAAAACTGGGGATTCTTGCTTTCTCAAAAAAAATATTGCATAAAAAGCTGTAATTCTCAGCATTCTAAATAAGTATATATCATCTTTATAAAGTAGCATAGGTCCTATACCCAAAACTATATTTTGTATCTTTATATATTTAGTTTCTTAAAAAAAATCTTCCCTGAATTAGGCTACTTCTGTTCAATTTCTTTTTTTTATTAGAAGTATAAAATATATGAGTGTAATGAGCTAGAAGTTCACTGCAACATATCCAACATCCTAAAGAGAAATTATTATAATTAGAAGATATTTCTAGTGTTATAAAATATCGCATATTAATTTTCCAAGAAAAATGTATATTTTAGTCAGAATTATTGCGCTCCTATTTGGCGTGCATGCACGCAGCAGCGCTCGTTCATAAAGATTAGCAGCAAAATGGATACATTTGCACGACTTTCTAACATTTACAGATGGAGAATATAACTGTAAAATGTAATTTTTGCACTGTGGGGGGAAAAAAACATGTCACAAACGCGTAAAACAGCACAAAATACACGCTGTTTGATGGTGGATCGATTTGATCCACGATAGACCTCTAGGGCTGCTTCAGAAACGCGTGCACACGCAATTAGCTAGACTAGATAAACCTGGATCAAATTAGTGAGATTGCGTGAACTTCAATTACCTTTTATGGAACCACTTTAGCCCCAACTTATTTGTTAGGCTCATTCAAGTCCGGTTTTGGAGTTTAATCCCCGCTTTTCTAAGCTTCATTTATGGAACAGCCCCCTGGGGAGACTTTATAAACATTAAAGTAACAACTAGGAACTGCAAACCATGGAGCAAGACCGGAAATAACATAAAAGTCCAGGAATACAGGTTGGAATCATGACAGCAACAGTATGTTGAAGATCAATAATGTGCAGTAGAGTGAAGTAACTCTATAC